CGTGGTCTATATGTATAATGCAATGTAGAATATAGAATATAGAGTATAGAATATAGAATATATGGTATATACATAATAATATATAATAAGTATAGAATATACAATTAAAGGTTAATAAAGTTTCTGTATTTATATTAGTATTAGCAAAGCCATTGTTGGCATTGTCAAAACAGGCACAGCAAAACCAGTTCCTCACTGGAGAAGACAAGTGTAGGAAGGAGGGTTTCAGTTTCAGGTGAGTGATTTGATGCAGTTTCCTCTGTGAAGCTGTGGAAAACAATATAGTGAAGTGAAGTCTGAAGACAAAATTTGATAAAATAAATTGTTATTTCTAGTATCAAATCTAGACTCTGAATGCTCCTACAACTAAAATTGTACAAAAAATAAAATGGTAATGCACGGTATGGCTAAGAGACACATTTGAAGCCCAAATCCTATCAGTTTAAGGGGCTCAGTTAAAGCCTGAGTGTTAGGTGGGTTTTCTGTTTAATGGGATTCATATGACAATCCCTAAATACAGCAGAAGAAATGTTACAAAGGTGCACACATGTATACTGAAAAGAAAGAGATCAGTGAATGTACCTCCGCAGTACTGTAGAGGCCATCAAGGCATCCTCTGTGTACCATAAGTACAGGACACCATAGCATGTGTTATGGAATAGGAGCTGTTAAAAATGTTTTCCCCTCCTGACTCCCAGGTATATGCTGGCATTAGTTTACTGTGCTCAATTTCCTCAGCTTCCCTGGATTCTACAGGTGACTGTGACCATCAAATCCATTTTCATTATAAGTGATGTACTTATGTGTAAGATGTGCTATGGCTTATGAGTGAGAGTTTAAGCAGTTTGAAAGTAAGACATATGTGTACTCAGTCCTGAGCCCTGGTCCCTGCTGCATGTTTGCATTTAATCCACATGTGCAATATGTACATAGCTGAAGATAGGACTTCGTACTCCCAGATACATGTCCCAACATGCACAGGGATTGTTTCATTTTTACTTTTTCGATTTTCTGTCTCTACAAACTTCAAATCGTGGCTACATAGTAGTCCAGGTTAACCAGGAAGGCTGCTCCCAACCAGAATTACATGTAGCCATACATAGGACACTTACATGTAGGATCAAACCCCTTCTCATGATGGCAAAACAGGAAACTTGGTCATCTACTTCTCAAGCAAGTGCTGTAGTTCCAATGGAAATGCAGCTGTTCCAGTCATTTAGCGTACAGTAATGCACCCAAATACATAACTTCTTCATGTGCATGTAAGGAGGCAGTAGCCTGCCACTAGACTGAAGTTCACAAAGGACAGAACGTGAAATGATCATGCCTTCATCATTTGATTGGCTGTACAAGGTCCAGAGCATCCTGATCTAGTTAGATCTGTTTTAATTGTGGGATTGGATTTGATGACTTTTAGAGCTCCCTTCCAAACCAAGTTTATTCTCCGATTCTACAATTGCTAAGGCTTTCAAATCCTGTCAGAGATTTTCCATATCCATAATACCCACGCACAAATTATCTCCCCGTACAAATTTAATTCAGCATATCAGATGTATTGTCATACTTCCTACATTTCATAAGACCATTGATTCAGTCCATAGACAGTAGGTCTGATGAATGCATGAAGTAGTGGACTTTGTGAATACCCAGTCTGTGTACATGTGACACCTTCGGTTTATCGTCTGTTCTTTACATATATGAACTGCACTTCCTCTGTGTTCTACAAAGAATCTGTGCATGTTCTGGTTTTCATTTTTAGGTAGTACCACTGTGTGGACATGCAGAACATCGTAAACCAGTGGCAAGATTTTTAGGAAAGAAAGAAGACATAATTGGACAAATTCATGAAATGTATGACAGCTCCAGCTAGCTTATATCAGCATTAATAAATGACCTGCATTTGTGTCAATAAGCCATGAAACTTCATTTCAGTAATGGTTAGCTACCAGATGCTGATGACATTTTTATCTTCTTTAGGGAATTTTCCCCTTAATAGGTTTTTCTAAGAAAAAAGATGTGAAATGTCCACAAATTATTGCTTTCTAAATATAACTTCATCATCGTTTTTTAATAATTTTAATATTGGTATTTAAGTTTTTTGAACGGAACGGTGAACAAACTTAATCGTCTCTGGCAGTACCTAAAGCTTCAACAATGCTGGAAGAGGTTGCCCAGGGAAGTTGTTGAGGCCCCGTCCCTGGAGGTGTTCAAGGCCAGGTTGGATGGGGCTTTGATCAACCTGGTCTAGTGGGAGGTGTCCCTGCCTATGGCAGGGGGTTGGAACTAGATCATCTTTAAGGTCCCTTCCAGCTCTAACCATTTTATGATTCTATGATTCTATGAATACTACATTACCATGGTAAGCACCAAGGCCCAAACTGTCCCTATTGCTGAGTAATATGGACTAAAGTAAAAAAATAAAATTATTAAGGGAAAAGAAATATGGAACACAGCACTCACCTCAGATGGCTTGATCCAAAGGCAGTTGGAGAACTTCCATTTAGGTGTTTGGGTTTTAGATCAGGATCAAATCTATGCAGATTAGAGATATACAGCATATACCAAAGATTGGAGCTACTTCTGGTGTAGAACATCAGGGAGTAAAGTTTTATGTTTCTGTCATCCTTTGTCTTTTCAAGTCTGCACCAATATCTTCTGCCTGTCTTTGTCATATAGAGTGCAAAACATGCAAAGATGTAAGACCTGTGATATGCTTACTGTGCTTTAGAATGGTTCCATCTCCAAAGTCTTCATTTTACTTCCAAGAGACGCACTCAGAGGAGAGTGAGACTTAGCCAAAAGTAATTGAGAAACACAAAGAATGAAATGAGATAATACAGTTTAAAACAGATTGGTCTGGAAGATAAACTGTGTTCTGAGGTCAAAGCCCACAACTTCACAGAAATAGCTGAAGTAAGAACTTTGTGTTGTCTTAATTCCATGTGAATATTGACTTCTTCCAGTAAGCTGAAAGCATGGGGATTCCTTGATGATTGAATAGATAAAAGTAGTGTATGGCATTTTGTGGCACCTGTTGTGAAAAAAAAAAAAAGCTGTCCCTTGACTAGGCAATACAGCAATATAAACCTGTCACTCTAGAGTGGTGCATCCATGTTACCTGCATGCTTATGGGCTGAGTCATAACTTCTGTCATCTGTTTGCATCCATGCAACGTCATATTAATACAATCAGTCAGCCTCAGCTTGAGCCCAAATAACCACCTGAAGGCAGTGAAGAGACACAGGCAAAATAGGGAAATAGCTAACAAATCTCTCCAGAGCTTTATTTATCTGCAGTGCTAAAGTGAATAAATAAATAGATTTTAAGTGATAGTCAAAACCTGTTGATGTTTAAATGCAGAAAGTGCTAAAATGCTATGGGTGAAACTACGATATTTTTGTACAGTCTCTTTGGTAGAATCATGTTCCAAAGCAAAATCATTGTTACATATCACAACAGCTGTTGAGGCAGCTGTGGACACAAAAGTAAACAAAACCCTAAAGCCTATGTTGCTTTTTGGAAGTAAAAAAATAATAATCTCTTATTGGTTGTTTTATTATATCTATGATTAGTATAAGGGCAGAAACCAAAATGCAAAAACCTAAGAAATGTTTTCTTTGGGATACCTCCAATACTGGTGAATCCAGGAAAGAAATTTCTGCAAGAGATCTCTCTGACATATGGCATGCTCTTGTTAATGTCATCAGACAAACTCCTAATTGCAAGGAAGATGTCTCTATTACTGGAGAGTACGTCCTATTGTACATCAGTGCTTACCATTTGGTTGTACTGATGTTAGGAGTTACATGATCACAGTGCATCCTGGGAAATGTGACCTAACTATGAGGTCTGAGAGAGAAAGGGTATGAAGAAATAAGAGACACTAAAGATAGCTGCTGTGATGCATGGTAACATGGTAACATTTCGAGGGAAAAGAAATTACCGCTTAGCTAAGCCAGAATTTGATTTTTTTTGATTCAACAAGCTAAGAGGAAATATTTTGATTTGGGAATGTCAAAACATTTCAATTTGATCAGATATAGAAAAATTAAATTTACTGAACAAAATGTTCTTAACTATTTCCATAGTCAATTTTTTACTGCAATTAGCTTTGATGGATCTGAAAAAGAATTCAAACTACTAGAATTTCTCATGACATAAAATCAGTCTTTTTTAACAATATACATGTTCATTAAAAGGTCCTTTTGTTTGTTTGTGTTTTAATTAGGTTTATCTTCTTCATAAGTTTACCCTCTTCATTCAGATAAATTTTATCATCTTATTTTCATATTTTTGCTATTATTAGCAAACAAAAGAAATTGAATCTAAGGAAACAAAAGACCTTACTTTCAACACGAACATGACCTGATTTACCAGAATATTGCAAGTAAATGTACAATTATTTTTAGAAAGGTATATGACAAATTTTGGTACAACAAAGGAAAAACTCTTAAACTTTTGTTCTCCTGCATATAAAGGGAAGATGTCTAAATTGCACAATACTCTCATTTTCTCAAGAGCTCATACCCTTAAGCCTCTCAACATCTATACTGAAAGTATGCTGCCGTGATCATTTCTTCCAGCTACAACTTATATATTGTAATCGTTATGTAGATGTGGGAAATTTAGTTGAATATATTGTCAAAGTCTGTAGCTGAGGGATTTTGCTTTTAAAACTCTGTTAAACAAAAAACACAATGAACTGGAAGAGTGACTTATCTCCAGTATATGCTCAGTCTTCTGCCTTCAGGGACTCCCAGCAACCAAAGCAGAGCATTGTCTGGAGTGCAGTGAGGATCTGGGACTCTCACCTTTGGACCTTTGGCAATTTGCTCTGAGCTTTCTAAACCGTTTGCCTCAGCTGCTTGCTACAGACTATATAAATGGAGGTCCAAGTCAGAAGGCTCATTCTCCCTCTGAGGCAGTAGGGAAGAGGTGAAGAGGGGAGGGAAGGAAAAACAGAAGAAAAGACAGAGCAGCAAGAGGGTTCGGGGCTCACCATGGGCCCTGTGCAGCTCTTGCTGCTCTCGCTGCTGCTCAGCAGTGGTGTTCTCACACGTAAGTACTGCCTTTTATATTAGTGCTTTTTACTGCTTTATTTATGAACCCATTAAAACAACAATAATGCGAAAATCATCAGGACAACGGCTTATAGGATTAGAGAGGGTAAGCATGGCAAAGATGTCATCTCTTCCCTTTGTGGGACTGCGCAATCATAGGAGGATCCCAATGTAGAAAAATCACAAATGTCGCCTAGTGTCTTTTGATCAGATTTAATGTATTTTGCAACTTGTAAGGAATTCACATGATTTGTTTTGGCCTAATTGTTTTTCTGTAGTGCTGTCCTTTTAAACCCCCATGGAGATACTGTAGCTTGGAGATACCATACAGACTTATCCCAGCTGTTGCTAACCTATTTTGCAGAAAATATGAAGATGGAGAGCAATAAAGCAAAGTGTATTTGGCAGACAATATTGATATTGGAAATACAATTTTGTGTTAAAAGGACATAGCCATCAGTAGTAGTAGTAAAAGAAGTAGGCCAGTACAGGTTTTATTCCTAAGATCAGAAACAACAGCCTAAATCAATATGGTGCTGTGGATTGTGAGCTATCCTTACTTCCCAAGAAGTGGCTTTTTAGAATACAACACTGTAGTGTTACTTAAGATTTCAGGAACGTTAAGGAGGACAGAGAGTCTGGGGCCAGTTACACAGGTCTGGTTTTATATGCAGATCAAATTCGTCATAAATACACCTTTGTTGAACTACCATTCTGTTTTTGACTGATGTTATACAGTTTTAAAGGACGCGCTTGTTTCTAATGGTTATTATGAATGTTATTACTATTGTAATAATAACAGTAGTCTTACGGTTGCTATTGCTATTACTGTAACTATTATTACAATGTATTCCTATAGAGTGGTCAACCTTAGAATTCCCAGAATGAATACTTGGAAGGCCTGCAGAGAATATTGTGAAAAGTGCTGGCATTTATGTGTGATATCCCAAAGAATAACATAGTATCAAATGAATGCAGCAAATTTACTAGATTATATTTTATTTTATTTTAAATAGAGTCATGTGGGACATACCTAAGACAGATTGGAGCAAATGATTCTACTTAACTTGAATAGGCTTCCAATCAGTGTTCTTTTCCTCCAAAGAATGAATTCTCAATATTCAGAAAAGATTTAATGGCAGACAATTGTAGTATTAATTGTCAAAGTTGCCCTTTTTTAAATGTCCAACAAGCAAAATGTAGCCATTCATCCATTATGCAGTATTTTTATGTGCTCAAATAGACTAAAATTTTGAAGTAAACCTTGTTATATGGTACATTTCATCTGTCTACCTCTACATTTTGTTCCCATCCTTCATAAACTACTTCACATAACATAGGGCTTTTAAAAATACTTGTTAACCTAGAAGCTGATCCTTCTCAGTTTAAAGAAAAGTAGTTTAATTCAGTGACCTAAAGGTCCAATTCTGAGGTCTTAGTTCCCAATATCAAGGCAACTGCTGTAACTCTCTTTAGATGTGACTCCATACTGACAATATTAGTAGCTTTATTATTTACATCAGTGTGCCAAACTTCATCAAAAGTTGGTATGAATTAAAAGAGGTCTTACAATGAAAATGTAGTATTTCCATTTATATTTCCATAGCCCTTGTTTTATACTAGAAACTGCTTTTCCAGCTTTTAATTCTTGGTTTTGTTCTTTACAGAAGAAGAAACGCCTGAAAGTGGAAATCCAGGATGTTCAAGTAATTGATTTCTTGTATTTGCTTTTGTTATCTTATGTCACTATATTAACTGAATACATCTTTCAAAGCCTGACTTTTCCTGTTCCATAAATCTCTTCCTCTGAAATAACTGAAACAAAAGTGATGGCAATATTCAGAAGTCTTCATTGCTGTTTATCTTAGGTAGTTAATTATCCATAAGGCTTGGCTCAAAGAATTTAAAAAGTTTCCTAAGATCAGAGAAGCTGAGGTTGAGTTTCTAAACTTTTGAAAAGCTCCCATTAAGAAACTACTTTCCATTGTTTTGTTGATTTCGAAATTGCCAGGTGCGAATTCCTTAATCTAGAAATCCCCGTTTATGAGATGTGAAGCTTTAGCAGTGAGGTTATGTACATACGACTTTACCGTGGGCTGAAGCTCAGTTCTCATTTACCCTTCACGGTGACTGCTAAACCCAGAGAATTACACTTGCATATCTAGCTAAATACCTGTAGAATAAATCATCAACTCTGTCAGCAAGGACAGCAATTTCTTTAAACAAGTCGAGCCTCAGGAAATGCTGACTTTATGCCCTATCTTTATAATGAACTCAGACTGGCCCTGACTGCTTGGTTAGATACATAATGTTCCACCATAGGGTCAAAGTACCAAATGAGTTGTTGTGTTCTTTGTCCCTTTGGATCTTCAGGGTTTTTTTGTGTTTTTTTTTTTTCCCTTGTCGGGTGCTTTAGCACCATCTCCAGGCAACTGGGTTTATTTCAGCTGCCTAAACCAATTCAATGACTTCTGGGCTTCATTTCTCGTGTATTTTTGATACAATAAATTATTTGGTATTTGCATTTCTAATCTTATCATTTCCTTATTCCTTGTCCATTTATTTCTGTTTAAAATCAGGAAATGAAGCAATAATTAGCCTTTTGGTTTTAGCATAGTAGATACTGGTGTTGCGAAAATTTCTGAGAATGTACAGTTAAGCAATGTTATAGTAGAGGATAGCCAAAAGTGACAGGGATAGTGTTGATTTTTTTAATAGCAGTTAATTTTAAGGTTAATTAGGTAATTTAATTAAGTTTTCAAATGTTTGTAAGATGCTGATTATTGTATGATAGCTATTATTAATTATATTAATTCTGTTTAGAAATTACATGAAAGTTATCTCAGTTAAAACACCATTGAAGTATGTAAAGCTTCTAAAAGTGATAGTCCAAGGGGGAAATACGAGGTATATAGTACTATTCTACTCTTCCCTCCAAGTATGCAATTCTGTGACATAAAGGGTAAGATAACATTGCCATTGGCTTCTGACATGACAAATATTTTATAAAAGAGGAAGAGTAAGCTACATTCATGGCAGCTATAGGCAGGCAAAATCATATAGATTTGATGATAGACATGTGGGTTTACACCAGGATGACTTTACCTTTTTTTTTCCTATAAAAGTAGATCAGGATTCTAATATGTTCAGACAGTCACATATAACCACGAGGGAGCAATTTAGGAAATTCCTTTTCACACAGCATCACAACAACCTCACAATCCCACCGAGCTGCTCAGTCTAAACAGAGGGAGCAGTAACTTCTCTAACACAGTCGCTAACAGCAACTGCTCTAACACAGTCACCTAAAGTGCCTAATCATTGTATTTTTAGTTTAAAATGAGGCCTGCAGTTATAATGGGAGTGAATTGTAATCGAGGACATTGTTTGGCCTACATTATGCACTCCAGACACCAAAAGAAGACCTCATATCCCTGTATATGACACTGAGACAAAATAATTTTTTTCATTCTGTCTCTATTACCACGTTCATTCCTGGGTTTAGGGTTTAAAATTACAGATTAATTGCCTCTGAAATCAACAGAAGCAGATTAAACACAGGTGAAATTCATCCCTTTGAGGAAGTCTGTTAGGTTTTAGGTCTTCCTTTGATAAGAAGAGAAACACCTCCAGAAATACTTCCTCCTGCCTTAATCTTACTCATAACTTAGTGCTTTTGCCTTGTTCTGGATGCTTTTCATATAACTACAGTTTATTTCCATTAAAAAGAGTTTACTCTAGTAAAATTTGATGATCTAATAAGTGAATTAGAGCAGATCATGTTTCAGAAAGGTCTGAGGCTGATAGATACTCTGTAAATTCAGGTGAAATGGTATTGAGGAATGCTAGTTTTGGTGTTCTGTCTCTTTCTGTGTTTATTTGCATTCAGTCTCAAACATGTGACTTAGATAAAGCAGTTTCTTGCATTTGACTTTTGATGGAAAAATCTCAGCTGAAATGAATCATTTTATTACCAATTTGAAAGCTACCAGTTGATTGGTTTAATTTAGAAGCAAAAGGGTAATTTTTAAAACAGTTCCACATCTTAAGCTTTCTCCTGTTTTTGTCATTAATATTAATGGGGCATGGTTTTGAAGGCCAGATGGGGTCGTGTTGTCAGATCTCATCAAACAGAGCAGTGGGCCCCAAAACCTAAGCTTCCCCCGCAAGTTTTGCCTTATGCTTCAGAAAGTGTCCAGCTGACACGAAGGCATTACTTCTTTATCTGAAAGCTATTCTGTAAAAGGAAATAGTGGGAGTGTCCTCGTGCTTGCTTTATATGTGGCATTCATTTTAGTTACACAACACTAAGCGTGTGTTGTAAGGATTGGCGTACGCATATCCTACCGGAGTCATAAAAATACTCTTGTTTTTCCAATTGCAGAAGATGCAACCAGATTTAAACACCTCAGGAAATATGTTTACTTATATGAAGCAGAAACATCAAATGGGATCACAGGAACAGCAGATTCTCGAAGTGGTTCAAAGATCACT